ACTCACAATCATGAATACAATAAGTCATACAACTCATGCAAAATACGACCCTGAATCAGAAGCAAGGCACCACTGGGTTGTATTGACGATCCTAGGGTACCCATCCTCTATCATAGAAAGGAATAGGTTCAACTGTGACAAATCACGTATCACGCAACAAATGACTAACAAATATGTGGAATGATACAAACTACAAATCAAAAGACTCCAGAACATGCACATGTAAGGAAATACATCAATGCAAACAAGTGCAACAGTCATATAAGATGGATGATGCTGCAATTTCATGAAAACAATTGCAACATAGCCTCTCTGATTTGGAGGCAAAGAGACTGACGCCATGACATTGACAGTGCGGCGCCTAGGTGTCAGTCCCTTTGATTCTCAGACCAATACAAAGTATGTGATGATGCTCTAAAACCCTATACACATACATCTACTCGTAAGTAGTGTCGAGGCTTTAACATTTTCCTACATGCATTGTTAAGCGGTTCGAGTGGGTAAAACACGAAAAAGATTGGATGACTTAAAAAAACGGCTAAGCTGGTAACGACAAGCTCATTATGAGTCTGATTGATCATCGCCGTACATGCAGCAGGGTGTACCAATGGTTCGGAATATAAATCCCCAAGTCTTGAGCCTATAAAGTTTAGAGACCCGTTTGTTCGGAACAATCAAATTCTACTAGCAAAATAAAATCGAAATGAGGGTTGCCACTTATACAGAAGGGTATGCCAATGATCCATGGGTAAAAATCCGAGGCTCATCTCGACCTATAAAGATCAAGAAGCCAATAGAGGTTCGAATGAGTCGAATCCGACTAATCGTCATGATGACCCATGGTCGTTGCATTGCAGCAAAAACAGTACAAAGTCTACTCTTTTGTGAGAGAAAATTCTCGGGTAGGCCTCGGAGCCAAACTGAAAAAGGCCAAGGTCTAGGGCCTGCTAGAAATAGCCCGTAGACATTCAGATCAAAGGGCCCAATACCCAAGCCCTCAACATTTAGAAATGGTGCCATGGCTCTAGATTAGTTAAACTCAAAACTTTAGTGAGGCATTGATGTTGAGAGCAACATCTTAGCCTTTTGACCAAAAAGCGTTGCATGGCGCCACAATCCTATGCTGGCCCAAGTTAGGATGGTGTCAGGGCATTGTGGAACGATGCTGCGACGCTGTTCGAAAGGGTTACAATGACTAGGCACTAGAAAGACTTGTCTAAGCATCATACCCAAAACTAGGATATGGTGGCCTAAAGGCAGTGCCAGGGAAAAGTAGACATGTTTAATTGTTCGGTACACTCGAGAAAGTAAGGTAAATGGATAGGAAAACCTATCTTAGAAGCTCCCTCTAACAACAACTCAAACCTAGCCTCTAACACAAAGCCTCGGGGTTCTAGGAAGAGGGAAAAACACTAAGGCTTAAAAAAACCTCACCTACACAAGGTGGACAAAGTCACTCCGCTCAAAAGCTCCATAAATGGCTCCTCAAACTCTTTCGGCTGTGAAAAGCACCACATTCGACTATGGAAATGCCATCGAAATAAGAAGGGCTCAACGATGAGCTGTAGAGGGAAATCACACACCAAAAGCTTAGAACAAAGAGGGGTTAGAGAAGAGATGTAGAGAGAAGCTCATACACCAAAAACCTCAAGTAGAAGACTTCCACATCAAAACAGGGAAGGAGAGAAGCTCACACCATCAAAATGGGGAGAAACCCTCTATTTATACCCTTGGGAGCTCAAGGGGGCCGCTATAATCAAATTTCTTAACTTGGGGGTAGCCCAAGGCGGCCCTTTTTAAAGGGAAAAATTAGGGTTTGACACCGTGATGCAGTTTATGGTGTCTTGATGCCGCTAATATGACACTAACACCCATCCAATCAGACGACACTCTCGGGACGAGAATTTTTACTTTTGGGGCCGTACATTGAGTTGCGACGCCACAACACTATTTTTTCTCTGTCATGACCTACGTCTTTCAATTGCCTTTCTAGAACGACGTCATAATAGAAAATCAGAGGTGAGGCTGCAAAGTTATTGTGATTTTTGTGGGGCTGTGCGCTGAGGTATTTTTTTTGCGAAGCAGTAGCGTCAAAATGAGCAAAAAATTACCAAATTTGCATGTTTGCCATAAAATGCGAGAAAAATGAGTCCCGGGACACTTGAACATAATATGCCAAAAAATATGCTAAAAATGACATCAACGTAAGCCCCTCAATAAGGGTGCCACACTGGGAAGACATTGTACGCTTGTTGGCAGTTGGCGTTTGATGCAAAGATTTGTAAATTGTTATGACGCTTAGAAATACCGAGGTACTCAACACTGGACTGAGACAAAAATGAATCCTTCACTAATCAAACAAAATGCAAGTAATGAGCCCAAAAAAGTATCGCTATAGAAATTCAAGCCAACGTGGGTATAAGACTCCCCAATTGGTCAAATTGAATATCACAAATGACTTGGAAAAGTCACAATGTGAATACCAATTAAGACAAACATAGAGTATTCAATGGCTTGATAGTGGACTTAGAAAAGTCACACTATAGTGCTTCGGACTCGGCGGGTAAAAAAACAAACACCAATTAAACAAAATATGTAACCGTCTAGAAAAAAGACACGCTACGAGAAAATGAGCTATGATAGATATAAAACCTTCATCGGTCGTACCTAGTCCACTAGGAACTACTAATCCTATGGGGTGGCAAAGGCATGTCAGGCTTAAACTCTCATATATGGTCTATAAACAACTAAAAAAGTATGTAAAACTCTAACTCTCAAATTCGATTAGAGAAAATTTTCTATAAAAAATGTGTTAGGCTCTATCTCCTAGACTCAATTAAAGAATTTATCGAAAAAGGTGATGAGCTTAAACTACCCAGCTCGGTTAAGAAACTAACCGTAAAATAATGTGATGGGCTTAAACTCTCAATCTCAATTAGAGGAATTAATTGGAAAAATTTGATGGGCTTAAATTTTTCGATCTCGATTAGTGGAACTAATAAAAAGAATGTGATGGGCTTAAACTCCCGGAATTGATTATAAGTAATCAGAAAATGTGTTGGATATAAACTCCCGAACTTGATTAGAGGACTAATAAAAAAAGAGGTTGTTGGGCTCAAACTCTCGATCTTGATTAGAGAAACTAATCGAAAAAGATGGGCTTGGACTTAAACTTCCGAACTCGATTAACAAAACTGGTCAGAAAGAACGTCAGACTATAACTCCCAAACTCGATTAGTGAAGCTAATCAAAAAGATATCGAGCTTTATTAGCGAAGCTAGTTGGAAAGACGTTGAGCTCTAACTCCCAAACTCGATTAATGAAGCCAGTTGGAAAGATGTCAGGCTCTAACTCCAAAACTCGATTAGCCCTAGGGGTTTCTCCATTAGTTCTCATTTGGGGACGATTCTAGGGTGTGTTTGTTTGAAAGTTTTGAGAGGATTGTGAGAGAGTGATTGTGTGCTATTGTATGTGGGAGATTGACAAATAGTTTCATCATACAGAGAGGAATCCAGTGTATTGCAAATAATGATTGGCTCCATTGTATAGTTTTTTTACTTTATTATAGTGTTTCTTTGATATTTTCAATGAAAGATCGTCTGTTTTCAGGTCTTTAGTAATCCTGCTAATTGAAAGTAAATTGCAATCTAATTGGGGAACATAACACAAAAGAGAGCTAAATATCTTTGTAGGCTTTCACTTCTCATTTTCCAATACTCCTAGAGTGAGATTCATCAACAAGTCTAACAAATTTGGAATCGGTGAACTCTTGGTAGTTGGTGAGAGCATGAACATCTCCAGTCATGTGATCGGAAGCACATGAATCTATTATCCAAGGTCGAAATCTTCTATTGTTAGCGAGATAAATGGAGAAAATAATGTCTTTGTTGACCATCAAGCTGGTAAGCCGCTCAGTTGTGCTTGAAAGAAGTTTTTTCAATACTCTTGTTATTCCTTGGTGAAGGGACTAGGGTTGGCCAACCCTTCAGATGAGATAGCAACATAGGCCTTACTGCCTTGGTCTATCCTCCCTTGCGCAGGTTTTGAATTTGGAGGTTTTAATATAGTTTCTAGCACTTTTCCTTTGTGGGTTCAAGTTTCTTACAACGCTCACATAAGAGACCATTCTTCTTTGGCTTTCTCATGGGAGAAGTTGTGTGTGTACTCGGCAGAGTTTTTAGTGCTAGATGAATCCACACTTCCTTCCATCATGAGCTTCTTCCTACTTCTCTTCTAACTTTAGGAAAGGCTTCCTTAGTGGTAGGGATTGGTTTCATCCACATAATTCTTGCTTTGACCTCATCTAAGTTCGTATTTAGACCTAATAAGGACTTGATCGTCTTCTTTTTCTCCTCTATTGTTTGTAGAATATAACATCTTTAGGACACTTTCATACATTATTATTATACATATCTAACTGTAACAAATACTTTGTGAGTGTGCTAAATTATTAAGTCACACTTAATTCTTCTTGTTGGAGCTCATGCAGTTTTGTCTTAATCTCAAATAATTCTGCAGTATTTTCGGTACTGCAATAAGTCTCAGGTGCTGCTTTCCAAATCTTTTGTAGTGTCTTATAAAACAACAAATTTTCTCCAATCATTGTGGTCATGGAATTGATTAACCAAGACATATCTGTCTGATCTTGAATCTTCCATGAGCGATAGTTAGGATTTGTGAGCTTAGAAAATCATATTACAATGTTGGGAGAGGGTTCGACGGCTGAAGGAAATTCTAGGGTTTGTTCCCAGTCCTGATATCTTGAAGAAATGTGGAGAAATTTGTACTATATTATTTCCTTATAATCAAATTTTAACTCTTCTCCTTACATATAAGTACAGGCTAGGACAAACTTAATTCCTACCATTACGACTAATCAAAGACATAGCAACCAACAAAAAGAAATGCAACATAATAAGAAAGAAATAAAAGAGAATAATTTTAAAATAGAAAACTCAAAATTCTTTACTATGTAAATGATATACTTTTCCTTGTCTCAGATCTGGATGATAGGATAATGAAACAGCAGCAAGAGGAGGAAGAGCGCAAGAGGCAACGTCGGGAACGTAAGAGAGAAAAGAAGGTAATGGCTTCCTCACTAGTGCTTGATATTTAGCTTTTACTTTCATGTGTGGTATTATTTTGTAATAGAATAATTAAAAGATACTTTAATAAAAGATCCTATTAAAAGTTTTCCCGTGCAAGCATTATTCAAGAATATGCTGCAAAGTTTTAATGGCAAACAATTCTCTTCTGCATAATTCTAACTGAAGTTGTAATCCTAAGAACTATGGACAATCATGCGCGACAATTTGTATCGGCAAATCACCTTGTAACGTTTGAGTTGAAGTAAAAAAATGGGCAGGCATTTACAAGCATACCACTCAATTCCCTGTGAATTTAACATATCTAACATCGAAAATTTCCTTTTTTACATTCATACTATCCAAATCTTCCATATCACATCAAATTTACCATAATTAAACTTTTAAAGAGTGAAACACACCTTTATGTATGTAAAAATTGATGTTTATATTTTAAATATATAAATACATATGAATTCAGTGGTATGCATGTAAATCTTCAAAAAAAAAGAAAAAGAAAAGAAAAGTAAGCAATGCAATGAGAGCTGTAGTTTGTCAATTTTTGAAGGGAAACTTGACAATCAGTAAAAATAGAGGTTCCTATGCTATCTTTATAAGACCTTTTTTTTTTAAGGGTCTTTATAAGACACTTCAGGGGACAAGTCCTGACAATTATTAATTAAACACTTAAAGAGTAGCTGTGATCATTTATCAACAGCAGGAGTTAAGACTGTTTATTTTGTGGTTTTATATGCACTTAAGGTTCATACGATAGTGTGGAAACCCGTGAGAATAAACCTACCATCAAATTAATAAAAAATTAGAGCAAAGGTTTCTATTCCATTTCTCAAAAGATTTGAGAGTTTTGTCCTGAACAATTATTAATTAACATTTTTCTTTGTGACCATTTCATGGCACCAGTAGTTAATATTTGCTTCTTTTCATGTTCTTAAGAAGTTTATCCTTTGTTAATTGAGGCATTTACATACATACCAGCCCATTTTTATGTATTTACATATATAACATCTAAACTTTGATTTTTACATTAATACCACCCATATCTTTCATATCACATAAAAAATTGCAATTTTTTTACATTTAAATAGTGAAATACACCTCTTTATGCATATGTAAGGTGGCATATTAGTAAAAATTGAAGTTCAGATGTTAGATGTGTAATTACATAGGAATTGAGTGGTATGTGTGTAATTCTTGTCAATTTTGCCCAGATGGATTATATAGCATGTCCATTGTCCACGTTGGCAGCTCAAGTTCGCTTGTCCATGTATCATATCCAGTACACGAATGTCAAAGCCAAAAACTGTGTTACCTTCTTTGTGCTTGATAAAATTCAAATCAATTTTCCATTATATTTGTTCATAAAAAATAGGACTGGATCAATGATTTTAAATTTTTCTTCAAATCATCAATGGACTCTGGCTTGAGCGATATATTCGTTACTTTTTAAGGCAGAGTTCTCGATTTTGAGACTGTATGGATGTGATATTAACGAATTCTTGTCCCTACATGACTTTAAAGCTATAAATGGACTTATGCTCGCCTTATCTTATATAAAAATATTTTAGATAGGTTTCTGTTCTTTAAAAAAGGTCATCATCATTTTTTTATTGTGGTTATAGTTAATTTGTATCTATAGTAGATTTATGTTCTAATTATATTTATACTTTTAGGGTTTATTATATATTAATTTTAAAAACATGTTTGGTTAGTATACTTTTTTTCATGTTTTATTTTTTGTTTCCAAAGAGAAATTAATTTCTTTTTAAAAACATTCAATTATCAAATGTCCTAAATGTTATTTTGAGTTTTTTTTTTTTAATAATAACCACTCTATAACATGTCAAACATGTTTTATTCTAAGTAAAAAATTTAGACAAAACAAATTAAAAATAAATTAAAAAAAAATTAAAAAAAAAAAACTAAAAGTTTTTCAAATCGGTCCCCAGCCCCTTGTTATCAATTCTTATTCTTTAGGGATTCATTGCAAGTTTGCAGCTCCAACACTCGAGCCTCGTCTAAGATCAATTTTATATTTTTGTTTTATATTTTTATTTAGTGTTTTGATTTGAATTAAAGCATGTTTGATTGTGATAGCTGTTTTTAAAAATACTCAAAACATCATTTTGTTGTTTTGAGTATTTTAAAAACAAGTTGATTTGTTTTTAAAAATAAAAAATAAAAACATATAAAAATTATACTAATCAAATATATTTTCGAAAATAAAAATAAAAACAAAGAAAAAAGAAAATAGAAAACAGAAGATAACTTTCTAATTTTTATTCCTCTGCTTGGTCATTAATTACCCACTCTTCTCTTGTGATGAAACATGGATCACAACTAGTTTTAGAGGGTTATGTTGTGTGAAGCACTTCAAAACTCTATTTTAGACACTATGTTCATATTATTTGATATAATATAAATTGTTAATTTTTTTGACACCATTAAAAATGATCAACACTTCTATGATATAAATTGGATGGTTCTGATATTGACTCTGACACAACTATATTCCAAGTCAATTTATTCCCTAAAACTTAACATATATGTTACTTGATTGATGCATTTTTAATTTTTATCTTTTCCAAACTGACATTGCAATTTTTTCCCATTTTTATATTCCACGTATTTGCAGTATATATATTTGTTAGTTGCATGCTCTAATATACTCCTCTTTTTTTTTTATATGCCATCGTTTTTGGTTGGCAAGTCATTATTTTAGATTGTGGAGCATAATTTTCCTTCACTGCAAAAAAAATATTCTTAGGACTTGGTCACGCACAATGAAGGGTATTTCGGAAAATTTATTATTATTTTTGCTGCATAATTTTTTTTTTTGAATAATTTTATAGAAAAGTGTACTTTATTTAACATCTTATAAATTTGGGCCGTAAAAGCTCCACAATCATATCATAATGAAATAAAACAATGATGAAGATAAGTCATAACGGATAAAATTCTTGGTTTTTTTGACACATTAATTTCCTTTTCTGTTTGCATTTCTTTTGTTTAAGCTTCATTTATTTTTCAATAGACTTCACGTATATGAACTTCTAGATTATGAGATGAAATCTTTCTTTGCACATGGCAATAAGAAAAGTTAAGATCTGTATTGGGAATGGTTGCTTAAAAACACTTAGTTTATTAAATGGAAATAAAATGAAGAATTTATAAAAATAGGGTTCATCATTAAAGATATATATACTAGAGCTGGTACTTGTGTTCGAACACAAGGAGGATTGATCGAGTATTTTCTTATTTCAGTTGGATCACATTATAGATTAGCTTTAAGCCTGTATCTTTTGTTTTAGTTATGGATGTTCTTACGAGACATTTATAAGAGGATGTATCTTGGTTTATGTTTTTCGCTGCTGATATCCTTCTTGTGGATGAGACTAGAAAGAGAATTCAAGAAAAAATTGAATTATGGTGGTCAATTTTATATTCTAAAGGCTTTCATTTGAGTATGTCTAAAATTTAATGTATGAAATGTAATTTTAGTTGTAGATTATTAATTCATTAAAAGGAGTGAACGGTTTAGTTATCTAAGGTCTATTGTTAAAGTGATGGTGATATCGATGGGGATGTTATTAGTAGCATTAAAGTCGGAGAGTTGAAGTGGAGGAATACATCGGGCCTATTGTGTGATAGAAAAGAATTGCTTAGACTTAAAAGGAAAATTGTTTTATGGCACAGAATGTTGTCCTATAAAAGAGAAGAATAAATTTCAATGCTGCTGAGATGAGAATGCTCACGTAGATAAGTGGCTTTACACTTGGAGACAAAGTACGAAACAAATATATCTGTGAAAGGGTTGGAGTAGCTATAGTGGCATAAAAGATTACTAAATCACCTTAGATGGTTTGGTCAAATTAAATGTCGACTAGAGGTGTAAGTGATCCAAGCTGACTCGTGAGCGCCGATTCAAGCTCAGCTCGATAAATTGCTCATGAACTTAGCTCGATGAGCTAATAAACCAAGCTCAAGCTAGCCTCGAGTTTACTCGTTAGCTTGTGAGTCGGTTCGTTTAAGAATTAATTAAGATAAAATATACTCAAATTATTTTAAATTTCAATACTTTTGTGGACTTCGAAATTTTTTTTCCCCAACCTCTCTCGAAATTTAATGACGACTGAGTTTACTTGAGATTCCTGGTCAAATTTTCATAAAGCGGAAGAAATTGTATATACGACACTACCTAGAGATTTCGTCCTTATTTTGTGATAACTTTTTGATATGAGATTCGAAGTTCTTATGATTAATTGCTTTTCCTGACAACAGTAGAGCATTTTCATTTAAGGCTAGTTGTTGAGCTGTTAAAAACTCAGCTTATAATAGCAAAAATTTAAGGTTTTGCGTTGTGAAATTTGATTGAATTTTTATATTATAAAAATATAAAAATTCGTCACTTTGTGTTTTAAAACATGTTGGGGGAATGCTAATGCACCCGATCAAGATGTCATGTTTCCGTCATCCTGAGTTGTCATGGACCCTGACCTACTTAGGCAGGTGAGTTAATCGACCCAATTTGATTAAAAGATCATTGTCAACGACCATGAATTGTTTTGTTCAAGTGGACCTTGTAGACATGGGGTGAAGTTTGTCTCAGGGGACTAATTTTAAGTCAACCTTAGCTAGCATATGACTTTATGCCTATCAAATATACTCTATGTTTCACATCTCAAAGAGTGGAGAGTCATTGGGGGACATACAAGGCACAATCATGACCGTAATTTAATTGTTATTTAGCGACAATCATTCGATCAAATGACTTTGTTCTTAACTTTTTTTTGTGGACCTAACTGACCAAATGACGCGGACATAGGACACGAGCCGCATACTTAGCAACGCAGATTGATTTGAGATTGAAATTAGCATATATATGATGTGACACTGACTGTATGTTTATGTTAGCTTAAGCCAAACATAAATTTGTCTTCTTCGATAAACTGGTGCGTAGGGTGAATAGATTTTTATTTTTTTTATTTTAGTGTTTTTTATTTTTTATAATTTTATTTGATTAAAGTTTATTTTTTGTTTCGTGTCAATTTTGAATTTTGCTTGCAAAGAATCGACTTTAAGATTAGTACATAATTGAATATGAATCTTGTCAACTTTGTCCTGCTTACAGAGGATCAAGTTAAGTAATTGTGACAGTTGAATTTATTTAGATATTTATCGGAACTTGATTTTGAAAATAGAACTCTCCGATTAAAATCATCTATAATTTTGACCATCATCGAGGATTTTGAGTAGATTTGAATCATCGAGGATTTTGAATAGATTTGAACCTTGTCAACCATGTCTTGCTCACAGATGGATTGTGTTCAGAGTAATGAACTCATTTTTTTATATTATGCTCCATCAACTCTACCACTTTCATAAGGACCAGGTTTATATGATTGAATTCATTGTATTTTCTGAAAAATACTATATTATTGAGAATATTGTTTGAAGATAGATTTATTGATGAAAAACTTGATAATTTCATATGATTATATATATATATATATATATATATATATATATATATCTTATTTCTTATATACTAATTATTCAATCATTAGTTAGTCTTGCCAATTTCAATCCTCATATGAAGAAGGATCAGACTGCTAAATAACACAATCTCGTCAACTCCAGTTCTTATTAGAAAGAGGAGCAGACTATGACAGTGAGACTTATGACCTTGCACTATAGATAATGCGACCCATCCCGAGAGCGTGTACTTTTAAATTTGAATTTTTGAATTTCAAAATAATTTTGAAAATTTTGAAATAATTTGATATTTTCAATCATTTGCACGCTCCCCAGGGCACATGTATATTGATTTTATTTTTCAGCTTGTTCAACAATCTCGGTTTGTACAATCAAGCGTTCATTATCATGGTCGGAGCACATGCGGGCTTTGTATTTTATGAGATAGTGCACTTACAATATTGTTGCATGATCTTTGATGCATATCCAAAATCTTGTGTTGTATTGTTAGGCATACATATTTTAATGATATTTAAGTTAATCAATTATGCATGTCCTTGGTGTAGATGCACATTAACCGATGTTTTTTCACAAATTTGAAAATAACACCTTTAAGTCTAAAATAACCTCAAAATTTGTGTTAAGCTCGATTTCATTTGAATTTCAAGTATTTGTGTTAATAATTTATTGTTCAATTTCTCACAAATATTTCATTTAAGCTTAAATATTGCCTTTTGTCCGCATGCATTGGGTTTTCGGATCCGATGGTGAATTTTGAGATTTTGTGCTCTAATTGTAAATTCAAAATGTGATTTATTTATACTTAATTTGTGTCAAATTGCGAATTTTAATGAAACTTCATTTAATTTCATTGGCAAGAAATTGAGTTCTCTCCCATCCTTTTTAAGTTTCATTTGCCTTCAATTCTATGTTTCTTGAACCCGACATTAATTTGAATATTCAGTAAAATGTCTTGCTTGTGGTCGTAGGTAAGGTACCCATTTCATTGCAAGTCTCGTTATGTTTACTGCATAGTGATTGAGTTTATTATAGGTTGTGTTTATGCTCGTCATTGAGCTATCAAGTCCCCTGCAAGTTATGTTTGAATGTTCGAATTTTGTTTATTTTTTGCAATTTATCTCCACATTTAGTCTTTAATATTTTGATTAGTGTATTTTTCTTTTAAATTTCTTATACCCGGTTGGGAGGTAATTAGCCAAAACGAGCCCGCCCACCCATCTAATAAAAAGATTTGTATGGGTGGTGTTTATAACACTGGAGCTATGTATTTGAATCTCTGTCTAAAAAGACACATATAGGCCTTTGAGTACTTGTACGAATATCCAAAAAGGATTTCCGTGCGTGGTTGGAACAACCTGAGAGAGTACTTAATTGCCCTGTATATACCTTAGCGAGAAGACAATTTGATACGGCGAGATGAAGAAACTGCGAGGAGAAATATTTTATATATTTATATTCGTGATTTGTTTTAGAGAGAGGAAGGAGAGAGAGAAATGGAAGTTCGGGTAGGCTACAGGTGGTGTTGAGAGTTGGAGGTAGCTGCTGTAGCGGGAATCAAGGGGAGTTGGGATTCATCGTGGGAGTAACTGTTGGTTACCACACAAGACAGCCAAGAGGGGAATTGCGGTTTGATTTGTTGCCAGCAAAAGGAGGAGGCGAGGCTCGAACAATTGGAGCATGGAGATGCAGCAAGAGGGAAGACGTGAGGGGCAGCAAACAGTGAGTGCAAACCAACAGTGGGTGATGGCTAGGGGCTGTATGGCAATACGGATTTAGCATGGATTTTTGCAGGATATAACCGAAAGTTTTGAATAAAATAAGTCTGGGGATGCGATAAATCCGGATTTCGTCTCTAAATCCTGCGAATCCAGTGCACGGATTTAAGGTGGGGAGAATCAAATAGAACAGAAATTGCCAGAGTTTTATTGGATTTACATGATTTATTAAATCTTTATTAAATCTGTTGCCAAACGGTTTTTGAGATTTAACCCATTGAGGATATATTAAATCTGGATTTACATAATTTAATAAATCTTAGTAATTTAAATCTCATCTGTTGCCGGACAGAACCTAAGTAGGAGCTTAGAGGCGTTCGATGCCCATCAATAGAGGAAGGAGAGGGTGGTTTTGCACATAGACTGCTCACAAGAATGGGAGGCGAGAGGAGCTGGGGTCATGCAGATAATATCGAGCAAGAATAGCTGGTTGCGGGGTGTGCTGGTATAGAAGAGAAGACTGTGTGATCTGTGGGAGGTGGATTTCGGTAGGGAGAAAATCTTAGAGGGTTTCTGCTCCGGGCTGCGATGCTGCGAGGAGAAGAGAACTACGGTTAGCTTCCGTGACAGAGGTGAGACGCCATACTAATGGATCAGAAATGGGAGCCTGAAAATCAGAGCAGACGGGGTTAGCACTAGAAGCACTAGAAGAGGAACTGGGTGAAGGAGGGATGAGGGAGGGCTCATTGCAGAGCGAGTGAGCTGGGGTTTCAATTGCTTGTGGGAAGGCGTAACATGCGGGAGAGATGGGGAATCGAGAATTTCTGCCGGTGATTGGGGGGCGGTGATGGGATGGCCTTCTTTTCTGCGGGAAAGAGAGGGATAAAGATGAGGGTTTTTGCGTGGGATATGAAGATGGATGGAGGAGAATGGGATTGATCTTTTTATATTTTTTTATTTCTTGCAAAAATAGGACTGAAATGAGGCCAGTCAGGCAGAAGCTCCTGCGGGGAGTTGGGATTGCGGTACGGGCAAGAATAGTTGGCAAAATTTGAAAGGTTTCCGGTTTAGGGGGAGTTTATATA